ATCGAGCATATTGATGTAATGATGTGGTGGTCAAGTAGTACATGACATGACATTCTAGAGAATAATAAAAACGTGCAAATATCCGTGAAGTTTGTCTGCCAGTGCCAGAAACTATGAAAATAATTTATTAGTAGTAAACCGAGACAAAATGCCAAAAACTATGACATTCTTTCAGTCACATAAAGCAATACCAATTCCACGGTATTTTGAAACAGAAAATACGGTATTTATATTTAATTTTTTTGAAACTCAATAAGATAATGATACAGAGTATGACCATTTGTAAGTCTGAAGAATGTTGTAAACAATGAAACACAAGGCATCATTCAATATCGAAATTCTTTTAAAATTGTGTGGCTGATTGAAAAAGGGTGAACCGTTTAAGTTTGTTCTGAAAATTGAAGGTATAGAAGCCCTCAACGTTCACACATTTTGAGCTGGCTAATGGGAACAACTATTTTAGCCGATGAAATGATGAATAAATGTATTGCGTTTGGCAAAAGATGCATTTTAGTTATTGGTTGGGGGGGGGTATATTACAAACCATCAAAAAGCGATTCACTAACTTCAATGTGAGCAGACAAAAGATGATGTAGATGATGCGGACTTGGAGGGCGTTGTTTGTAGAACCCACAAATAAGGTGAGTTGCAGGAAGAACATTACGCACAGATTTATTCATTGCTGTCTTCTAATGTTGATTTAATCTTCTCAAAAAACTGGAAACATGGAACCAAGGATTGTTCAATAACTAGGGATGTTGAATCGTTTAATTCACAGTGTTGAGCAATTTATGAATGTCTGTTTCTAGTTTGTTTTTTATAGCAGAGCGTCTAATTCATTTAAGAAAAACCATTGTTAAGATGACTTTTTAATATGTGTCGAAATTGTAATACCTTTTATTGAATCTGTTCTAATAATAAAATCAACAGCAATAATGGTTCATTAAGCCGTGGTGAGAAACAAAACAAATTATTATTGAAGAAATAGCTCATGAAGTGTACCCATAACATTGATTTTACACTTGATGTGAAAAGATTTTCAGTACTGTAAAATACCCGAGTAGAATTCTAGGCAGATGTATTATGGGTATACTGATGTTGATACCGAGCAGGGTGAGTGAGTGAGTGAGTGAGTGAGTGAGTGAGTGAGTGAGTGAGTGAGTGAGTGAGTGAGTGAGTGAGTGAGTGAGTGAGTGAGTGAGTGAGTGGCAGTTCATGTAGTGCATGGATTAAGGTCAAAGTGGTCAAAAATGTTTGCACACAAGATGTAGACGTATGTGTCTAAGCCTTAGTTTAGGTTAGAATATTTGTGGATATTTGTATTCGTTGTACAAGATACTTCGCCAATACTGAAACTGTGTGTGTATTTAATAAAGAGTTTACAGACGGTTATCAACGGTTTCCCATCATAGTTTGCTATTGCAAGACCACTGTACCAACTGATGCCAGTGTTGCAGATGGAAGCATACAGTCGAGGATTGCAAAGTGCCAAAAGGCATGATACACATGCCACCAGTGTTGGCATATGTTGATTATGCTAGTTACAAATGCATGTGTTATGGGACTTGGCATTTTACCAGATACAAAAACGTCGAGAAAGTTGAACACTGAGGTCAGCTGTGTATGCTAGCAGACGTTTTCCATCTAGAAAATACTTACCCGGTTTATAAATATGCTAAAAGTGTGTGTTGTAGCTGTTTGATTTACTATAGAATGGGCACCCACATCCCGAGGCTGCATTATACACGACTGTAAACCATCCACTGAATTATTTATATTTTTTTTAATTTGATTCAATCTTATAGGGCGCCAAATTTCCATTGTTTCTTTCAAATCGATGTTAAACATATCTTTCCATTTGGTTGGCATAGCATCATTGAGTAAATTTACTCAAATATGACGAACGCCCTCAGAATAGATGTTGTGTATGTAAACAAAGTAGAAAATATATAACTATTTTTTTTATTGAAATTAACGGGATCGCTTATCTTTTGTAAGTGGTAGTAGTTGTACAAATATCAGAAAGAATGGTTTATTACGTCGTGGACGGAAAACAAATAAATATCGAAGAAAGAACTCATAAAGTGTGTACAGAACATTGGTATCCTTAGTTTGACACTTGAGATTTACAGCACTGTAAAATAATGAGTAGAATTTTGACATATGTATTATAGGTATTATATATCAGGCGACTGGCATGTGGCAAGTTGTCAACCATATTTGATGAAGTAAACTTTAGATGATTGTAATCAAAATAAACGCACATTGGTCGTATGCAAGTATAAGGGTATTAATGCGTATCGGTAAATTGGTGAGAACTGTTTTCCAATTCTGGATGTTGTAGTTTGAGCATGAAAGACTAGGTGGATGCAAGATGTCAGTCTACAGATATTTTGGCATAAAAGTGAAAACTTATCTATCACATTTTAGCTGAAGGGTCAGAAATTTGAAATTACCAATGTAAGCAGAGTCTTCATGCTGATCTGGTATAAGTTTCAAATAAAAACTAAAACAGACACATTTGTTTGTAGTAAACGATCACGGGAGTGTAAACCGCTCACGCTATTTTACGAGTGAATAAAGTTGTTGTACACTGCGTAATCCGTTCATAACTTGCAGCTATTAGTGGATAACAAATAACACTTGCTTAAATATTTAACATGGGTGTAGGCAATTGAGTCAAAGTGTTGCTCACTAGTAAGCAATAATGCTAGACTACCCGTAATGAAATAAAGATTATACCTTTCAGTCAAACCTGGTTTTTCCCACAATATAAGAATTATTCATTATACCATGCTCGCCAGAGTTTCCTGAACTTCACTGCACACAGATGGGGTTTAAACCCGAAACCTTATAGTCAATAAACAGCAGATTGATACACAAGACTGTAAAAGACACAACACTAATTCCTTAATTTGGTCTAACTTAGGATTTGTGAAGATTATACAGAAATGTGTCAGTCAGACATTTCTATGCTAATTAATGCGGTGGTATAGACCATATACTGTCATATGAAATAATAACAATATAACGAGGAACCAAAACTTGCTTGCACACCAACTGAAATTACAGCACAATTTGTCATGTTATATCAAGATATGAGCATATTTCAATTCCATATAAGTGACAAAGTGAGGAGTTGAATATGAATCGGTTTTGAATGCACACAACAATGTCTGTTTTGCATTCCCATGTACCTTTTTCCGTTCTTTGAGTAGCGGAAATGGCTCCGTCGATTTGACATAATGCAATGAACAATCCTCTTTATCAAAAAAATCATTTATACTTGGTGTATCAATATTGTCCCGTGACGATGAAATGTTAAAAAATATTCGCTTTTTATTTGAATGCGTTTTTGCAAAAACACTAATTGTGCTATAGCAATATATTGCAAAAGGTCGTGTTGAAAATGGTCCCATAATGTGGCTTGTCTTGACGTCTGATGTAAAATGTTTAGAAAACATTTAGGCTGACTTCTTGCAGAAAGTAGGCTGTGACTGATAAATGAAGATGTTGGTGGCTCCCTTCATCCGGTATTGAAACAATTATTTAAGCCATTAAAGTATTACACGAACGACGGATCTGGGTAAGGTATTAATTCTAGGAAAAGAATGCCAATATTTTTGGTGTAGATACAGACAGTTAAATAACGTATACCAAAAATTATTATAACAAATAAATACATAATTAAACGTCTATTGTATAATACATAATGCATTATACTATATAAATACATAATTAAATCTCTCGTGTACAACATGTAAATCGTTAAAATAAATAAATATATAATTAAATCTATCATATACAACACGTAACATTTTGTAATAAATACATGTAGAACACGTACAACGTTAATGAAAATTAAATCTCAAAATGAAGATCATGCTATTCGTCAAGAATTGTCGCATATGCAAATTAAATACATATCGGAATCACGCATCGCTTTACTAGTTTCAAAATTCACAACTCTCACTTGATCACGAAATAATAAAAATCTTATCTAATGATGACAAATTTATAATCCTTGCAATGTTGACAAAATCAAGCAAATTTTATTTATATTAACAAAATAGTTATCCTAAGAGAAACATTGGGTAGAGTAGTACATTTTTTTTCCGAGACACCCTTGATAACACCTTTACTGATTTGAGTTTTAGTAATAGATATGCCTTTTTGACAGATGTCTGAAAGAGAACTTTGACTATAGAACAGAAAAAAAAAACTATCGCCCTCCTGTGGTAAACACGTTAAATAGTTTGATGCATATGTCACTCGTATGGCTGAATCACGCATTTTAATAAAAAAAAACATAAATATTCTTAATCAGTGACACAGCGCCAATAGTGGCCGAATAGCAAAATAAATTCTGCTTAATTCTGAACAATTTATTATTATGCGTTGAAACAACAATTGAATCTTCGACACCCTGCGTCCCTTTTAAATATACTATGTCACATGCGCAAGTGGAACGTGAAGTCAGTTTACTGGGGTGACTGTTAAGATGCACTACATCATAGCACATGTAACCAGAATATTACTATCAAATGACAATTTTAACACAGAGAAGAAGCAGGTAAGTACTTTATATAATTCCTGAAGCGGGAATATTTGGTGAGACTTCAAATACCTCTATTCAATTATTTTATTCGTGTACATCGTAGCTATATACTCGGTACGATTGGCTACAAGCACTATCAATACTTTTCATTTCTGGACTCACTTCCTGGGCACTGTCTCCACGTATACCTAGCTTCGATATGTTCCTTATGTTATTCAGATAAACTGATTTCTGAATTAATTGTACTAACACGTGTACTATTTGTTGTCTGCGAAAGATATAGCCACGCCCAAAAACAGAGATAATTGAATATGCAAATGTAACATTATGAACAAAAATAGAAATTGCATACCAGTCTGTTTCACAACGAATGGCGTAGAACACGCCCATATGCTTAATCATTGAAATACCACAGTTTACCAGTCTTAGCATTCCTGTCTACCGATCACACAGGAGTAGTATCACTGTTGTCACATCACGTATCAAAGCAAGTAAGGTAATGAGATGTTTTATTGTGTATAACATTACTGTATGATATTGACGTGGCAACCTAAACTGCAGTATACTAATCGTACTGGTTTTTTTTCTATAATTTCAGCATTTACATCAAACATGCGAACATTGTTGATCTTCGCTTTATTTTTCATTCTGGTAATCACTGTACAAGGCCAAGAAGACCAACCCGCTGTAAGTGAACTAGCGTTGTTCATACTTTTCATTGTATCATGCATATACATCCACTGTTTGATAAGGAATATTCAAATGATTTGTCACGATCAACAAGCGCCAGTGTGGAAAAACAGCATAGGGGTTGTTAAGAAAAACCTTTGATTGGTACCTGCTATCGAATAACCAAAATAGCCGTCCCGTTCCTTAGATAAGTGTACAACTGACCCAATGGGACGCAGAAGTCACTTTTTGAAATTATTCATCGAGCATGCATCCCTGGTCAAACCTTGCATGCGTAAGATTAAGACAGATCGTTTACACGGTACAATGATTATACTCAGCTCTATGATCACACACATGTTGCCATACTGGAAGGATATTGCTGTAGGACTTCAAGATACGAATTCAACACGAGTGTGTATATGGAAACTTCGGTATATCAAATCAGATGACCGATTCTCTAAGCTTTTAAAATTTACCACAATCTTCGATGCTTGCAATGGTCAACCCAATTTGTCACTGTGCCTGTGACAAATGAATGCGACAATGCAAAAGTCTAGGTGCTGATAATGAACTTTTGTAGTGAAACTGTATAGTCATTGTGTATGTCTCCATTACAATGCTATATCCATAAATTAATGTTGTAATAATTATTATATGAAATTTATTGTTCTTCAACAGAACGCGAACGAAATGTTGGAGCACGGTCAGTTAAATTTACTTTTATCTATTTAATTTATTAATTTTATTGCCCTATTCAATTGCAATAATTACTTGTAAATTGTATCGTTTTAGATATAGACGATTTGATATTGGAATTAGAGGTACGTCATTAATAATACCATATTATATATTTAGTTTATTCTGTACCTAGCATGAGTAGGCTCAGATTGAATATTCAATGGGTGGAGTACTGGTTTTATGTATTTTTTTGTTTTGTTTACTTTTATACATTACTTGGAACAGAGACATGATGATGCAGATGCTGGTAAGTAGCTATGAGCTGTGTGACAGGCTGCATGCTAATAATGGTTGAATAAATGCGCTGGATAGTAAGGAGTGATGAGCATATTATTGGGCATAGTGTGTATTGATACACACAAATATACCCACATCATAGACGTATGGCAAACATTAAAAACTAGTCCATAATTCACACCAATGGAACTTAGATAACACGCCAACTGTGCACCTCCAGGTACCTAATTTATTTAGGCTTTATTGAGTATCAGTAACATGACCTCTTTCATATGGTGTTACTGCTAGTACGTAATCACAAACTAAAGTCACACCACCAAAATGAATGACGAAAAACACTTTTGGAAGATTATCAGAAATAGAAAACGTGTATTTTGTTATTCTTTTTTGTGGACTCTGAACAAGGAACCGATAAATTTGACAGCAGAAGTAACTGTGTGTTGAAATCTTGAGGGTTACTCTGCCATTCGTCAATAATGCGATTGATTGGAAGGCTCAGTGCACATGGCTTACAAGTAGTTTGTTATGAGATATTTGCAAATTTGGGTCGAAAAATCAAAACAGATTTAGATTTAATTAAGTTGTCTCTGCAATTAGTATATTCCATGTTGACCCACTATTGGGGAAAACAGTCTATGGCGACTAACAGAGACAATTACATGCTTAGGGCAATTGTATAACATTGTTTTGCACCTTTACAAGTTTGATAGTAATACGAGAAATGAGTTGTACACGAACGTATGACTGAATAATTGGATTAATGAATGAATATAACACATACACATGTAATAATAAGCCATGAACAGATGGGTAACATGTAATGTAGTTGTAATAATAAATAATATAATTTAAATAATGCATTTGAGATGTTATTATCTCTATAGAATTACGTGTGATTCGAACCATAAATACAGTTATCAGTTATTTCACTTTGTGTTTAATCCGTGGCAGAAGGAAGATTAGGAAGATGGGCAAGATAATGCTACGTACAATGCCAGGACCCCTATATTTCCTGCTCAAACACAGCGCTCATGAACCATAGTAGTGGATATCAGCATATTAGGTGTTCATGTATAGAAATGTGCATGTTCACGTGATTAACTGAATAAATAAAATGCTTCCAATCAAGTATCGGCGTCGGTATTGAGTATTAGAGCAGCGTTGCACATGTTATATTACGATGTTTATTTTAATATATTGCCGTCTTTCCACCCTATATTTATATTTTCTTGGAGAATTGTTCTCCTTATTCTCAACTGGAAGGCTAGTTTTGAGATAAAACGGTTCTAAGTATGATAATAACCCTATCAAAGAAACAACAACTATATGCATTCTTAAACAAATAAGTTTTCAAATGTACCTTAAAATCATTAATTATTAGTTCCATTTTTTTACATGTTTTGGTAGAGCATTTCACAAATGTTGTCGGATACAGTAAATGCCCTATACTGTAGGTAAGTTTGAAGGGCTTGTAGAGAGTGTACACAAGTTACGCATTTGAATCGAACATTTCGGTAATATATTTGGGGGACTGGCCGTTAAGGGCTTTGTATACTAACAGCAATAAATTATATACAATACGATCGTTTACTGGAAGCCAGTGAAGAGAAATCAAAGCAGGTGTAATATGATCATTTTTTTCATTTCTTTAAAACAATCCTAGCTGCTGCATTGTGTAATCTCTGCAACTGAGATAATTGGACATTCGTTATACCATACATTAAACTATTGCAGTGATCCAGCCTCGATCCGTCAAGAGTATGACAATAATCTCGGTAGTTTGTGTTGAAAGATATTTTCTGATCTGGGAAATCCTACATAGATGTTAAAATGATGATTTTGTTACCTGTCTAACATGACTTGCCATATTCAAATGTTTATCAAACATCACACCCAGACTCCGTACATCATTCGTGGCAGAAATTAAAGTCCTTTTTGAGGGCAATCAAATTTCTTAATTTGCTGAGGCATGCCAAATACTAAAATATCTGTCTATAGTGCTGCCTGTTTTACGTAAATTGTTTTCGCCCTCATCTTGAGATATTGAGAAGAGAATTGAAATTACCTACTAATTAGATTTAGCTAATGTATAGTCGACTATCACGAATGGGACGTTTCTCAAATTTGCTGACGGTGAACTCCTAGTCTCTTAGAGTTAAATGAATCTCACAACTGGCTCAGTGAATGTCACTCCTTATTACAAGACGTTATAAGTGGTTTACGCCACGTGCTGTGTTTACCTGTATTTACGTTTTCATACTGAATTGCTGTTGAAGAAACACTTCTTGATTAAAACAATCTACCCGAGTATTTATGTGGGAACACGTCTTTATGATGACCAATTCCCTGGGATTTCAATGGACTATTTCACTGCTTGAAATGACCAACACTATTTCCAATGTGTTCAATCCGGCAACGTAACAAGATCATGCACACCACAAAACACAGAAAATTAATTTAAAGATTATTAGTGGAGAAAAATATAAAAAATTTTAAGAAACTTATGATGAATAAACGGATAAAATAGTTTTTTTATTTGGCTACAAAATTTGAGTTCACATGCTGCTTGGCATTTATTATCATATCATGGTGTGTTACTCATATAGCATAGCCTTGTACATCGTCACATATTGTATATATTAATTCAAACGTAATATAGTATACAGGAAAATTCAGCAAAATATTGTTTTAAATTTTTTACTCTCTTTTGATCGACGTTTTATTTAAAAATAAATTCGATTTCACACTGGAACAGACATATAAATCACTTCGTAAGAGCAGGAGGAATTAGAATTTTACTGGTATGAGTTGTCATGGCAATATATACAACTATGTTTAGAATCAAAAGCTTTTCAATGAGTCTGTCTATCACACCACTCAGACGACAGCCAGTGATTGACTGATCACACAAAGTATTTACTATTCATTTACTATTCATTATATATTATTGACAAGAGTGTTGTTTATTTTGGAATCAGTAAACAATGTATTCAATCGAGCATATTGATGTGGTCAAGTAGTACATGACAATTCCTTTTGCCAAATTTCTAGAGAATAATAAAAACGTGCAAATATCCGTGAAGTTTGTCTGCCAGTGCTACAAACTATGAAAATAATGTATTAGTAGTAAACCGAGACAAAATGCCAGAAACTATGACAATCTTTCAGTCACAGAAAGCCTTACCAATTCCACGGTATTATGAAACAGAAAATACGATATTTATATTAAATTTTTTTGAAACTCCGATCAATAAGACATTGATACATAGTATGACCATTTGTAAGTCTGAAGAACGTTGTTAACAATGAAACACACGGCATCATACAATATCCAAATTCTTTGAAACTTGTGTGACTGATTGGAAAAGGGTAAACATTTAAATTTGTTCTGAAAATTTGCAAAGGTATAGTAGCCCTCAACGTTCACACACTTTGAGCTGTCTAAGGTGAACCACTATTTTAGCCGATGAAATAATGGATAAATGTAGAGCGCTAGGCAAAAGATGAACTTTATGATTGATGTGGGCGCTTATATTATAAACCCTCAAAAAGCATTTCACTAACTTAGAGGTCGTTGTTTGTAGAACCCACAATTAAGGTGAGTTGCAGGAAGGGTCTTTCTCAGAAACAGAGCTAAATGAGCCCTGAAACGAAAACCAGTAGTAGCATGTGAACCGTGGGATACACACAAATGTAAATCACCCTCAGATTTATTCATGGGTTCAAGATTGCTGTCTCCTGAAATTGGTTCAATCTTCTCGAAAAACAGAAAATATGGCGCCAAGAAGGTATGTTGAATCGTTTAAGGGGCGGTAGTTGTCGCGCATCGCGTGTTTGAATATCATGTAAATAAACAATGTATTTTACACGCGTTGTATACGTCACTATGAGTCACATGTCGGACAGGACGCGGTGCGACGACCACCGCCCTTTAATGCACAGTCTTGACCTATTCATGAATGTCTGTTTCTACTTTTTATAGTAGAGTGTCTAATTCATTTAAGAAAAGCAATACAAAGCTTTGATCTAATGGAGAGTAGGGGCATTGATAAGATGACTTTTTAATGTGTGTCAAAATTATAATACTTCTTATTGAATCTGTTCTATCAATAAAATCAACATCATCTCTTACCTTTCTAACTGAATGTCTCAGAAATAATGGTTCATTAAGCCGTGGTTGAGAAATAAAGAATGACCATATTTACAAAACTTTATAAAAATACGATGGTTGTAATTCTGGTGTGCACCATGGAAATATTAAATAGTCTTTATGGACTAGTCCAGTCCATGGCCTAGACTGCCAAGTAGAAATTGACTAAGTACTGTTGAAGGAAAGGAAAATTACTATTTACATAACGAAAAGTATTCTATGAGATTAGAATATAAACATGAAGAAAATATTACGTATAATAATAATATAAACGAGCTACTGGTACTACGAATTTATATGCAGAAGAAAAGAAACATATGCAGAGAAGTGGGAAGTAATCGAGGAAATTAACAAAGCAAATAATGTTTTATTTTGTATTTAAATTTGTTTATATGTTGTTTATATTTTTAGGGAGTCTGGAAGTGAATTCCAGTGTTTCACGGCAGCAAATTTAAAATTATGTTGTGAAACTGTAAGTTTAGCAATAGGAATTAAAAAAATTACCAACTAGACGCTGACTTTGTGGGATGGCAATGTAGGTAATCATTTACCTACTTATTGAGGCACAAAGTTTGTGAATATCAAGTATGTGTAATTGAATAAAAAGAGGAGCAGAATGTGCTTTAAAGTACGAGAAGCTGATAAGGCGCACATTTTTTTTTTGTAAGAGCAGATGGAACATGTTGATTATGCTAGATACAAATGCATGTGCATATGGGACTTGGAGACACATTTACTAGGTGTACAAACATTGATATAGTTGAAAAACTTAGGTTGATTTGTATGTCCTATCACAAGTTTGTCATCTAGAAAGCAGTTCATAAATATGCTAAAAGCATGTTGGCAGCCCATGCAGATAAAATGTCCTTCTGTGCGAGTCTACTGAAAGTCTCCATGCGTGTTAGTGGTGGGGTTGGAGCAGCAGATCTGGGATGTTCGGAAGCATCACTGGTGTCTCAACTAACATAACAACAGTAGTGGAAATCAGGCCTTGGTCGGCCAGTTGGGCGCCACCAGCAAGTTTCTGCAGTACACAGTGAATTAAGGGGAAGGGAGGAAAGGCCCACAGAATTGATAATGCGTCTATGGAGGAGTGTCACGTACGTTGGGAGCTTGGCGTTCAAGGGTGTGGCAAACAGGTCTATCTTTGGACCATCCCACAGCCGAAACAGTTTGGAGGCTACCCATTTCGCTATCTGCCACTCTGCATTCGGTATCTGCCACTCTGGGTACTGGAACAAGAAGAGATGTGCCTTGACCGGATCACTTGGTTCATTCTCGCGACCCTGGTACGACAAACTTTTGTTCGACCAGAAGGGCAAGGGTGGATGGCCAAGTTCCATGGAAATTTTCGTCAGCTCAGTTAGAAATAATTCACTGCGCCCTGAGAGTGGAGTTGCAACCAATTAAATTTTGTTTGTGGCCGGCACACTGGAGCGTATTACTTTGCATCTCCAGGACACGGAAATCTCGAAGGCAGAACGCACCAGCCTCCTAGACCAGCATACACAGCTGTTGGCGGAACATCGGCACGGCTATGTGTGAGACCCTGCAGTGTCATCTGGCTCTCTGAGTTATGGGGTGCGTCATCGCCTTAGTTATGCAGACTGGACCTCCTCCACTTTCTTTGATGGGGAGGGAGCAGTCACGAAGCTTGGGGAGGCCACCGACCAGATGGTACAGGTGGAATCTGCAAGCCAGTTGGCTGCTGCCAAGGGCAAGCAAAGAGGAGCCCAAGATGTGAAAACACGTCAACACACGCAAGCAAGAAGGCACTCTCCTTGGTGGAACTGCCAAACCCATGGCCAAATATCCCTGTTGTGCTCAGATTGCGCCGGTGTATTCCGGCTTGGAGGCAGTGGGTAACCGATCCCTGGAATGTCACACAATTACGAAATTCAAAGGATTCTGAATGCAGGATAGAAAATCTGGTGACAAGTCTGGGCTTCTACTCACACGTCTTTGTAGTTCAAAGGCT